AGCCACCGAGAGGGATTAGATTTCTTCTGTCTTAGACCGGGAATTTGTTCACCTTGAAGCATGGTTTCAATGGTTTAATACTACGCAATCAGGTAAATCTGGAGTTTTATTTTTATTTCTCTCTCATTGGGTGATTAATTTTTGAGAAATATTAGGGATACTAACAGTTTTACCAACACACTTGCAAGTTTATGCAGGTCCCACGCCAAGTGATGGTAGATCCATTAAAGATTATGAGTTGTGTTAGTAATAAGATTGTTAGTTGAATATCCCTAGCATTGTTAATTTTTTCCATTTAGAGATATCACTGGAAAACTCTACCACCAATCCTAGATTGGGCATTCCAATGGATGTTGCCCGTCTCCTCTAGACTTCTTGATGATAGGATAAACTTTCCACATCATATTGATCTATCAACAATGTGTCTGATGGACCCTGCTACCCCTTTAGTCAGATATTTTAAACCATGAATAGCAGAGAAGTGAGCAAAAGGACGAATGGTTATTCATGTAGCCAAGCAAAGTAAGATCCTTGTGACTGTTGAGTCTGACTATATAGAGAACGCATTCACAATTTATTTTTTTCTTTCATTTTGAATATTTTTCTTTTTTTCTATTATTAATAGAATTTTGTTCTTTGTTGCTGATCAAAAAAAACAAAAACAAAAAAAGGACATTCACAATTCCTGCAAAATATGTTTCAACTTAGATCATTGTTTCTGAGAAAGATAAGATATATGCTAATATGTTTCTTACTTCTGTGAGTATTTTCTTTTCTAAGTCAGTGCTTTGATTAATAGGCAAGGATATGAGCAGCTATTTTTGGCATGGAAGAGACAACGCAACCATGCACGAATTAAATCCTAAGGTTCTACTTCGCATGATTTAATGAAATTTCCTGAATAATTAAATATAGCCCTGCTAAGGACACCAACTTTTCCCCTGCCCTGTCATTGTGAGGGGGGCAGTGATAAAGGCTGTGAAAAAATGTGGTTTTTGTAATCTTTTCCAATTAAATATGCTCGTTATTTCCTTTTACTAGTAGGATCAATATTGGGCATGATATGGAATATGAGTTCTCAAGCAGTATTTTTTGGTTCAAATATTGGGAGTTGTGTAGTCCTGTACACTAGTAGGATCTCTATTTCTTTCTCTTTTTTCTTTTTTTTGAGAAGTAAATATTATTAAAAAAAAAAATTTAAAAAAAACACCTAAAGGGGCGTAACCTCTGCACATGATGTATACAAGTCAACTAAAGCCAATCCATAAGGTTGAGCTGAATCAGATCAAAATTGGTCCTAATCAATATGTTGTAGGAATCCCTTAATCAGTGCACCTGCTCTAACCTATCAAACTTATGGGTTCACCGTATATCTACCTAAGCCATTTTTGTTCTTCTTCCAACATTCTGTTCTTTTTCACTCATCCTTTAACTTAAAAACCTTACAAAGATTGTTTCTTTTAATCCAAGTGGAAACAAGAGTATCATAATCAACTCATTGAAGAACCTTTGAAACCACTAGCTGTGTAACTAGATGAAGTACATGAATGCTCGTGATTCTGGATCTCCAATCATAGTTTATTCCATCTATTTATCCAATTGTTCCCCTTTTAGTAACATTACCAATGTTTAAAACAGATTTATTCATCAAACACACCAATGGTTGTGTTACCATATTAACATTGTCACTGGAATGTCCAGACACTGACCTCTGGGTTGGATGATTATCCACGTGCGTTGCACCCAACTGAAGATGAACGTCATTTGGATCTTAGATGTTGGATGTTTCTTGCAGCAGATTGCATGCATTCAATCTCAAAGCTTCTTCCGAAGGAACATGAACTTGGGAAGATATGACAATAGGAATAGACATCTGCATCTCGGGGTTCATGTCTTGCCATATTAAACCTCTAAATGGAAATAATGCAAGAAAGGAATATGACTCAACAGTTACGCTGCTCTCGAATTTTGAAATCCTAAATCAAGTTTGTGCAAAGTTCATTATGTTATCTAGCATTATTTCTTGTTCTTCTAGAGTTTCTATAATCTTTTGCAATTGGTGATGCCTTTTTTTTTTTTTTGGTAGTTCTATAATTAGGTAGAAAGCAAAAGAAAAGTTTATAATTATTTGGAAATCTTCTTTGCTGCAATACATTTGTATTCTATCAAAAAATTATTTCCAATTCAATATGAACTGATGTTTCAAGAAGTTAAATAAGGTGCTTAATGTTTTTGCAGATGCACTTTGATGATGCACATGGAACTTACTTGGATTTTGGAAATCACACGGAAAAGGTATGCTTACCACTATCCTATATTCAACTGAAAAAGTCTAGGATCACAGAACCGGACACAACTGATCGGTTTTTGTGTATGTAGAACTCGTATTCAACTTATACACAATGACTACAATTCACGAAATTATTATATGCAACTGAACTAGAATATAAAATGCTAAGAATTGTCTACATTGCCATAGTCTAAAAAAATGATTAATCCCTCCAGGTTCGTTTGATTTGGTGAGAAGTAATGGGAAACAACCATTATGCAAGTCGAGAGCTCATCCGGGAAGTTTTAGAACAGCCAAGATTGAGGTTTGTTCCTCATATTGGCTATGTCTGCCTTTTCCCATTTGTGGCGAAGATTATTCCACCTGTTAGTTGCATGAAGGATCTCATCACGAAGCAATGTTTTCTCAATCTATTTGTGCTTCTATTCAGTGTTTCTTACCTCTACATTGTCGTAGTATGAAGCTCTGATTCAACAAAAAAAATCCCCTTTCCTTCCTTTGGGCTGTGTTTGGATCTTGGATTTAGGTGGAGATTTGTGTAGGGAAAGGAAATGAGAAGAGAAATGTGAATGGAATACAAGCTGATGTTATTTCACATTTCCATTCCTTTTCCCTCAGCAAATCACTGACCAAATCCATGATCCAAATACAGGACTCAACAATCCTAGAACAATAGCTGAATCTCATTTCAAATCAAAGCATTTTATGGACTGATTATGGACTCCGCTCTCTTTCCAAAACAAGGTGATGAAAGTTTCTCAAGTAGTGCATCATTTATGAGCTCCTTTATCCATACATCTATTCTATTATATAAAACACACGATCAACTTGGTGTGAGCGCCTATGTCACATATTTTCTCATGCCCAAATTCGACCTATGTAACTACCAAGTTTCTTATTTCAATTTTTTTTCTCCTCCATCTACATTTAAATTTCTTTTTTCATAAGACGGTGACAACTGTCTTCTATTTCTGCACACACATTCACTCGTGTGCTCAACTTCTAGTGTATGCTGTTATTTGCATGATATCATGTTTATTCTAGAACTACTAAATAAATTAATTTGTGAAACCCCTCTTGTATGCCAAAGCTCAATGTACATGAAATACAACATGGAGCTTGATGCACCCTATTGGAGAGGCCCACTTTGGATGAACATCAACTACATGATTCTTTCCTCGTTTCACCATTACTCTAAAGGTACACAAATACAAACATAGATTTATCTATTGTAAATTAAAAATAAAAATAAAAAAACTCTGATTTTCAATAAAATCTGAACGCGTGGCATTGACATGTGCAGAAAATGGACCGTATAGAGACAAAGCCAAGATCATCTATAATGACTTGAGGAGCAATTTGATTAGGTAAGTGGTATGACATTTTTAGTTCTTAATTAATGCCTCTAATCTAGACTCTTCAGTCAATTCTGATGAGTATTGTTCATTTTTGTTATGGCAAAAACGTTGTGAAGAATTACCAGCAGATAGGGTATTTCTGGGAACAGTTTGATCAAAAGAAATGTAAGGGGAAAGGTGCACGTGTATTTACTGGCTGGACATCGCTCGTGTTGCTGATCGTGGCAGAAGCTTATAGTGAATGTTAGGAACTTGGGACTCAATTTTGTAATTTTCTAAGAAAATTATAAAGTCATTAGAGGAAAAAGAAGACCACAAACAAATCAACCTGTTAGTTCTGTATAATCTCTCCAATTCAAGATGTGCACTATACTTATTGTCGCAAGTTAATTTGAAAGGTAAGGTTTGAAGTTATTGGTTGTGATATGTGGATGATGTTATTGAGAGTTTGTAATATCCTCCTCTCTCAGGCTAGTTTTACATTGCTCATGGATGAAACCAACTGATATGCTGACTAGAATGGACCCCGTTAAAAATTGTTGTTTAAGAATGACCCCAAAATCAAGCCAATATTTATGGCATTTATTTTTGCTTCTCAAACAATTTTCTTTTTGGATTTAACCATTTCCTGTTAGGTTCTACTGTTTCAGGGGAAAACGTTTTTAAATTTTTTCGTAAAAAATGTTTTCTTATGTTTAGTTACAATCTTGAAACTAATACATTAGTGGTGGTGTTAGTGATGATGGTGAGGTGGTCACAAGATGGTGGGGTGGTGGAAATAATGCATTTATGGCAATGGTGGGGGCAGCGGCAAGGTGGTGGGGTGGTCAAATAGGTGGTGATGGTGATCATGGGATGGTAATAGTGTGGCTTCAAATTTGTCTAGAAAACATTTTTCACCATTCAAAAAGTTAAATACTTTTTACTCAAATAAGCTTAATTTCTCATTTTGTCATTCCAAACAACTACAAATGTGAAAAGAATGATCTCCAAAAACAATTTTCACCAAAACAAGGCCCTAGTATTAACAGGAAGTTTGGAGAGCTGAACCTCACGCTTGGATTTTGAGGATCGATTATGGATGGTCTCAGATCAAAATCAGATGCAATCAAGATTAGTCCAATCTTTCTAATAGATGCATCATTTGTAATGAATTTAGCCATGTCCAGCAGGATTATACATGACCCCTCCCTCAACAATTAAAATGCAAACTAATGATCTCTAATCAATTGCAATTTGTGTAACACTTTTTTTAAAATACGTCACTAGCAAGTCAAATGCAAGGTGTCTTAACGCCAAAATCATCATTAGAAAATTACAAAAACTGTTTCCATCATTCAAGATATCAGTCTTTAACTCCCATTTTCTGTTATCTCCTTATCCTCAGCCATTATGATCTCTGTGTCCCTGATATCCCACTTTAACACATTACCTAGCCTCGCAATGGCTTCTGTCTGCTGTTGTAAAACCTGCATCAGAAAATACTATCATTTATCAGAGCATCACACATTTAATGAACACAGATTACAACCATGCGTTTCATTCTGGACATATCCACACTTATTAACTGACATTGCAGAAGGAAGAACGAAAAACTCATAATGGCCATATCTACCTCTTCCAACCTCAAGAATAGTATTTCAAATATTGGCACTCACCTCCGGCATATCAGCAAGACTCTGATCATGTATTTTGGTTGATCCCAGAAGATAAATGGAACCACCACCACCACCACCTCCATTTGCCTGAACATGAGCCATAGTAAGCAGATTTTGGACCCTCCTAGAAAGCTCTGCTCCAGATCCTTTCAACTGTATAGGTATGTGCTAATCAGTATGATGCTTTTGCACAGGCCAACAAGAATAGGATGTATGAAACAAGAAAGACGAGAAACACCAACCTGCCTAGTTATTGCAACCAACTTCTCAGCCAATTCAGCTTCACCTTTCATTAAAGGCACTCTGCAACATTTACCCTCCAATGCCTCTACTATTCTCATGACCTTTTGACACCCCCACATACAAACAAAGATATAAGAAAAACAAGTACACTGTGCCACATGCATTGATTTTTCACATGAATGATCAAGAACGCAAAGCAGACAAAGGTATACGCTGCCTGGCGGATCTGGTAGAAATCAAGCATAGGTAGAGACTTGAACCCTTGCACCTTGCTAGGAGCTTTAGGGTTGAAGTCTCGCCACTGGCAAGATTGCCCCCTCCAAAAAGTTATGGTCTCCAATGTACCAGAGAGAGAGAGAGAGAGAGAGATTACGCAAATTAGACAAAATCGTTCAAGCAGACTGCCCAAATGATTCACAGCCATGTTGCTTAACCACTTGGAGTATAGAAGACAACGACAATTGACCCGGCCATGCAGACACGACCTTACTACTTGTACAACGAATTTTCAAACATTCATCTCCGTTCTCAAAGTAAAATAAATAATAAAGCCAAAAGAGGTCCTACCCTTAAGAGGCGCATTTGAAGACCTTGCTCTTTCTGTCTCATTCTTTTTGTCCAGGGAAGAGTATCAGCTTGAAAGTGCCTTTGAAGCTGCAATCACATGTATGAAATTGAATATTATAAATCCATGATATGCACCCAAAATGCAGGCAAACTGAGGGTGCGCACACAGAAAAAGAGAGTATACCAGTTTCACATTGGTTTGAGTCATTCGCAATCTCTCAGCATCAGAGAGTATAACATCATCTTGAAGTTGTATTAACCAAAACACTATAATGTAAAACAATTGAAGTACAGCAAAGCGGTAACAACAATACAATAGCCAAAAGAGCATCCACTTAATGCTGAATGCATTAAATAGATAAGCATTCCCAAAACTAAAACTACATCATGATAAAAACACATATCAGTATGAATATCACATCCTCACATCATCTATATCATTATTCAACTTTAAAGGAGAAACAAAATCCTGTAGTAGAACGACGATCAGTAGGGTCCCCTGCCCAACCAGCATCAGAAAATGCATGTAACTGTAGGAAAGAGTAAGCGGAGTAGTGAAGACCATGAAACATAGTGTCTTTGAGATATCGTAAAATGTGAACTAGAGCATCATAGTGCGGAGAGCAAGGAGCAGCCATGAACTGACTAACAATATGAATAGCATAAGCAATGTCTGGACGAGTAACCATGAGATAAACAAGACTGCCAACTAGTTGACGATATAAAGTAGCATTAAACAACAGGTGACCATCAAGAGGTGTGAGACGAGCCTGAAGATCAACAGGAGTAAAGGCAGTCTTGAAATCGGTAAGACCAGCACGAGCCAAGAGATCAGAAGTATACTTGGCTTGGGAGAGAAAGTAACCAAATGGATCATGAGAGATTTCCAAGCCGAGAAAATAGCTGAGAAGACCCAAATCCTTCATCTCAAACTGGCGACTGAGAAATTGCTTGAGACTAGAGATACCCACTGTGTCATCACCAGTGATGATCATATCATCCACATAGAGAAGAAGAAGAATGGTACCACGCTCTGTCTTACGAATAAAAAGGGTAGAATCATAGGCACTGGAGGAGAATCCAAAATCATGAATGGTGGAGCTAAACTTGGCGAACCAGGCACGAGGAGCTTGTTTATACAAAACTGATTAAAGCAATTTTGAAAGTTAAAAATACAAATAGTTATATGAAAGCAATTTTGATAAAGTAAAAATTGTGATAGTGTTATATGAATGATCTAAGATGCTATGCTATTTTTCACTGTCTTGTCACAAAACTACAAACAAAAACACACACACCAATCTAACCCAGTGATTGATTTTTGTCCCTTTACACTATTGTGTTCAAAGGATAATACTTTGGGCACTGCTTGGTTAGAAAGAAAAATGGTGGAAAGATAGAGAAATTTGATTGGGATGAAAATTTTGTAAGAAATTTGAATTTTTAACCATAGGCAACTCTTTGTATGGACAAATTTAAATTTTCTTGTGTTATCATGTGTTTTTTTTTTTACAAGAAATTTAAAACTTAATTACAATGATAATATGAGTTGTGCAAGAAAATTAACTTTATTATAGTTTCCATCACTTTCATAACAGACTCAGAAAAGTTGCATCTTTTTCCTCTTCCCCTCAATTTCCACCGCTTTCATGCTAAACAAACTCAGCCTTAAGACCGAGTCCTACATGATTCCAACTGGTAGGGCAATTGCATTGTCTTTGAATGAGGAGATGTATCTTGTTTTTAAGTTGCTATGTTAGCCACTTACTATGTTTGTTTATGTTCTCTGAACTATGTATATTTAGCATCTCCTCATTTCTCTCTCTTTTGTTACACCAGTTCTCGCAAGGGATGCGTTCATCGAAGTTCTGTCTAAATCCTGCAGGAGACACGCCTCCCTCTTGCTGCCTGTTTGATGCTATCGTGAGCCACTGTGTTCCTGTTATTGTGAGTGACAAAATTGAACTCCCCTTCAAGGATGAAATCAACTACAAAGAGTTCTCTATTTTTTTCTCTGTCAATGAGGCATTGGTTCCCGGTTACATGGTTACAAAGCTCCGTGAATTTCCTAAAGAGAGATGGCTTGACATGTGGAGGCGGCTCAAAAATGTCTCCCATCACTTTGAATTTCAGTATCCCCCGAAAAAGGAAGATGCTGTGAATATGCTATGGAGACAGGTAAAGCACAAGGTTCCCGCGGCCAAACTTGCTGTACATAGGAGCCAGAGATTGAAAGTGCCAGACTGGTGGCACCGAAGGAGATAGTTTGGAGGCTGCTTTTGCTGACATAGGTGTATCATTTTTTCATTTTTTTGAACCGTGTATTGTAAGATTTTTTTAATGTTTTTAAAAATAGGTAGAAAAATAAATATAGGCAAGGCTTTTTGAATTACAGATATGCATGCACCAATACTTCATGCATATAAAATGCAGAGCTCGAGTTAAAATATGTATAGCAAATGATAGAGCACTTCAATACATTATTATATCTTTGAATCAAATGTGTAATGTGTTCATGTTCTTATCTCACCATATAGGCTTTAGTTTGCAACTTTCAAAGCTCCCAAGTTGCCACCTCAACTCTTAACTACCTAAGCATGCTTTGTTTCTATTTACCATAGCAATTTGAGTAGTGATGTACACTAAAGGATTGAGACACCCTTCCCATAGTGCCCCTGTGGATTAAAATCCAACATTCTCAAGGAAACGTGTGTGTGTGTGTGCGCGTGTGTGTGTTTTAATTTTTTTTATCATTTTATGAAAGAGTTTTTTTTTTCATTTTTTTTTCAAGAAAAGTTACAATGCAGTTGTATTAAAAGAAAAGCAAGTATCATACAAAACAAGAAACTTTACACAAACTACAAACTGAAAGAGTTATGTTGTGGTGTTTGAAATAACCTCCACTTGCTAGAATTTCAGGAAAAAGGTAAATGAAGAGTATTTGAAGCTAAGGTTTGAGATACAACTACAAGAGTGAATTTTTTCATTTAGTTCAACATCTTAGTTCGCTTCACTGTCTTATGTAGAGACATTATTCCCTCGACAATTAAACATTGGCACATTCATTAATAAAAGAATTATATGGAAAATAAATAAAAAAATACAGTACGAGCCTCTAGTGATAAAACATTATAAGTGCACATGTAGAAGAATTGCTAGTAATTTTGTATTATCTATTTGTCTTTGACATGAATTTGGATCCGATGCCATGAAGGGTTGAGTATCCCTCTCAGGTTCCATATGACTGCCACATTTTCAGGCTGGACATTTGCGGCTGTGTCAACCTGCCCCATCATTGTAAGGAAAGATAAATCATGCATCAACGAACTATTGCGAAACATTGTAAACACAAACAAGAAATCACTTCACATAGGACCATCAGGTTTTGTATTAACTGTCAGATGGTTCTAGCATTTGCAAGGTTTGGCTTTGACACATCTGTGGTGGATACTATATCTTATATGTGGGTTGTGTGAAAAAATATAGCTAGCAATTACTTACAGCTTTGGCAGCAATCTCTGTATTGTGGAGGACATCACCTTCAGCTTCAAACAGCACCCATGCCTATTTGTCACAGTATTTATCATCATCAGCAATAGCATTATATGGAATTCCACTCTTTTGGTGTCTGGATGCTTCCACCCATGCCTTGCCACCATCGAATGATACATCAAGTCTTTCAATGCCGCGTCCACCTCCAGACACTGCATAGCCATGAACTTTGCCTGCATCATGACGATGATGAAGACAAGGTGAGTATCATATTGTGGAATTGGCAATTGGGTGATCAAAGTGAAAATTTTCAATCATAAATAATATTTGTGCCCTATGGAAACCGTGTTTGAAATATGTTACAAACCTTTCCGTGCTGCACTGTATTATCATCCTCCAGTGAACAAATTGCACTCTGCAAATGAGTCAAGGATGTTACAAAAGTTCAGCAAGGAACTAATTATTTCAAATCTACTAAGGCTTGCAGGCAACCTTCCAATGGATTTGAAATAATTAATTCAAATTCTCCCTAATCTCACACCTCAACCTTGACTCTTAACGTGCATATTTAAAGTTTTTGAGTCGAATTTTACCATGGGTAGAGGAGCACGGGGAAGTTTTATCAATTTTGAGTTAGTCTATCTTTTTTATTCAACAAAGGATTTAAAATACCCAAAGTACTTGAAATCTATCAATTTCAAATCCTTTCTCAATTCCAACCCATTTCCAAACACAGTGCATCTATTATGCTCATAATGGTTCCGTTTGTGAACGCTATCCATTTGAGGCTTTCGAGTGGACCAGTCAATATTTTCCCAGTTAACCGAAGGAGGAAACATCTTGTAGTCCCTTTGCATGAAAAAACCCTGTTTATTGTTGTTACACATTAGCGTAAGATATAATTTAATTTACAAGTGAAAGGTCATAATTATAGGAGAACTCTAATTTTTACATTTTTCAGAACCAACCTGACATTCTTCTCCGATTATGTTGATTGAATCTAACCATTTTACAGAGCGGGCACCTATAACACCAGGGACAACCACACAAAGTGGATATCCATGATCTCTATTTAGAAGCTTCGGTATGGTAAACCAGTTAAATTTTGATAAGAACATGTTGGAAATGGTTCGGTCTATTTTTTAGGTGGGCCCCGAGTGTTAATTTACTCGGGTCAAAGTGGTAACGCGTTCTATGCCGCGTTGTGATTCACGTGGTATATTTGGTTGCTCAAAACCATTACCGAGTGAATGGAAAATTGAAGCCAAAGTGTGCTCCATGGAAATGGAGTTTTGGTGGAAATTCCTTAAGGTTGTAAATTGGCTTGTCCCACATTGTTTTGGTGGGAGGTTTTGAAAGGGTTTATAAGGCTTAGGGTGAGATACTTGGGGTGTGCCCCAAGGGGTACCCAAGTGTTTTAGAGGGAGAGGTTATGGGCAAAATGGGCTAGACCCATTGGACCCAAAAATCACCACACGCGCGCGCCGCCGCCGCCGTTCGGTCGGGCGCTGGTGTGTGGTTCTAATCTTTTTGGGCTAAAAACATTTGAATTTAATTTTATTTTTTATTAAAATAAAATCCATAATTCAAATTAAATTGGTTTGGATTTTTTGTTCATCCAAACAGGGCCCTTCCCGTTTTCAAACAGAAATAAACTCAGATTCAAATCTGTTTAAATTTGAATCTAACAGGTTTCATACCTGTTCAATTCAAAACCAAAAGCCACCTTTACATCTATAAATAGACTACCCTCCCATTTGGATTTTACTCAGAAATTTCGTATTTCACTTCTGCTAATTATATTCTTCATCTTGCTGCATTTTATTTCCGAAAGAAAGAATGTAAACACTTAGTGTGTTCGTAAGGCAAACAATTTGTAGTGCTGCTATTGTTTGTGGTAAGATCATTTCATCCTGGGAGATAGACGTCCAAATTCTGAAAGCACCGTGGAGAGGACGAATCTGTCTTAAGGACACAGTGTTAAACACTGGACTTGATCAGAAAAGTTATTCAAATAAATTAACCAAGTAAGTTGTTTAATTTAATTATGTTTTTATTTGTTTATTTAATCAGATTTTAATTTTGTTTTTGTAACAAAATAAAATCTGTGATTTTATTTATTTATTTTTATTTCGAGTTTGATTTTTGTAATCAAACATATTCTCTCATTTTCTCTATTTCTTTTATTCTTGTTGTTGTTTTGTACACAACAGAATTAAATCTTTTTAAATACAGTGAAGATTGTCCAACAGAACAAACAACATGGAGGAAGATTAGTCGAGAACAAGAGGATTCAAGAAACTTAGAAGATATTATAGTTCATTTCTTCCATGAATTTGCTATCCAAATCCAATGCTTGAATTTCATGCTGCCAAACGCAATGCAAGCAAATGCATTAAAATTTCCTACCTCATCGTTCATCTCGTATGCAAGTAGAACATCAGCCTCAGAATTTGTTGATTGAATTAATGGAATCGATGCCTTATATGGACCTCCTTTCTCCTCCTAATAGTCCAAATTACTTGGAATTGAATTAATCCACCAAACAGTGTAATTTCTTTATAATTAAGATTAAATGAATTTAAGAAATTTTCACCTTGCACATATCAACGCTTACAAATTCTACGTGCTTTCCACCCAAAGGAGTGGTTTTCATCAATTTAGGTGTACCTAAATTGACGAAAACCAATTTAGGTGGAGCCAAACTCGCTGATGTTCTTGAACTTGTGGGAATCCTTTGAGATTCAAAGATCCTTTGAGATTCAAATGGATCATAAGAATGTTCTGCATCATTTGTACATGTCCTTCAAGAAGACTTCACACATCCTTCATCTTTTACTCAGAGTAGGTTACAATACTCTGGATTGCTTCATGCTAAGAGTGGTTTTCGTCATTTTTCACTAGTTGTGTGTCTCTTGGCTGTGATTTGACTGACTGGAATTCATGTTTTGTCATGCGTATTTTATATGCATTGTGATTCGTTTTCATCATCAAAAGCACAAGAAAAACAGCTCTTCTTTGCCTTACTGCACTCTCTCTCTCTCTCTCTCTCTCTCTCTCTATTAAAAAAATATTTTTGCAAGGCGAAAAGTAAACTGTCGAATAATAATAGTAATTACAGCCTGAAAACCAAACCGCTAAAATGTACCCTAATTTACTGAAGAATCAACAAGGTATGTTCACAAATGAATCCCAACAATATTTGTATATGTTACCACTGAAATATTTACATACACCATCATAATGATGGGAAGAATAAATTAAAACCATTGATCACAATTGACCTTTTTATACATCAAATGGGTTCAACTAAGAAAGAATAACTCAGTTCCTTCGCCAAACTTCAAACTTTATGCAAATCTCTGGAAGACGCCTCCTTAATGTAGTCTCTTTGCACAAATTAAGAACATTAAATGAATTAAAGAATCTGTTTTGGAGAAGTAACTAACTCAATCAAATCAAATCTGATCCTGATCACAACACTGACGTTATTCACCCGAATGCCAAGCAGCTGACCTGCAAACAGGTCATGTTTGTGCCATAAAATTCTCTGTGGAAGGCAATGGAATTGCCAATTCAAGAAATCATATATATATACACATCTATATTCTGTGTATGACTCGTGAAGGGTTGCGAATTTCCATAGGTTTATCTAATCAACATCCAGCTGCTTTCAAGAAGTTATCATATGGACTTGATGCTGATAGCCTGAAGGACTGAGGATAATTCTGGTACTCTGATGCACACATCAGTGGAAGAGTCACCGCAGATGGTTTGCTTGCAGTGTTACTAAAGCTCCAGTTCACGGAAGCATCAGTGCCCTGCTTTAAAATTAGTTCAGGATATCAAATCGATCTAGAGAACATGAATAATGTGGTGTAGTATTTTGAATGTCAAAGCATGAAGGAACTAGAACATCATCTAGTGCTAGTGTAAGATTATTCAAATTTGATAGCTGAAAAATGTACTTGTCTACATATGTACTTATGTATACAGTTAAGTGCTGCTATAGAAGCATACGTAAAGGCCACTTTTTATTTGCCTTTTCATTTCCATTTTAGGTATTACGGTAATGATTCAGTGAAGAGATGGCAAAACACATGAGGTGCACCGAAGACTCTCAAGAGGACTGGCGAGGTATGAAGCAATCCAGAGTATTGTGTACTACTCTGAGTAAAAGATGAAGGATGTGTGAAGTCTTCTTGAAGGACATGTAAAAATGATGCAGAACATTCAAGGATCGTAATCATTGAGATATCTACATGTAAACTACTAAATGGCCATAATATGACTGCCCAAAAAACAAATGTTTGACAGGTCAAGATTCTAGGATGCATGATATGGCATTTGAACAAAAGAAAAAGAAAAAAAAAACAGTAGTTGGATTCTACTACTCATTGCACAGAATTATGAATTGTAGAAACCATTACCATATTTGTAGGCCTTTCTATTTGAGGGGTGGGATTTTCAACCAAAATTTGCAGTGCAGACAGTTGTGCAGCATCATCTTTTCCTACTGGATAATTGCCCAATATATAATCATGTTGTAATTGTCACAGTATAACCAAAATCATCACATTCAAAAGTCAAAAATGATTTAAACTTCAAAAGCATTGCTCAAAATCTACTAGTGATTAAGAAACAGAAGCAAAATAAAAGCATGATTACATACTTGAACATAACATAACTGTACAAACATTGGTTTTCCTCCCTGCCCCGCGGTGGAGCCAAACTCGCTGATGTTCTTGAACTTGTGGGAATACCAAAATTGACGAAAACCACTCCTTTGGGTGGAAAGCACGTAGAATTTGTAAGCGTTGATATGTGCAAGGTGAAAATTTCTTAAATTCATTTAATCTTAATTATAAAGAAATTACACTGTTTGGTGGATTAATTCAATTCCAAGTAATTTGGACGTCTAGGAGGAGAAAGGAGGTCCATATAAGGCATCAATTCCATTAATTCGATCAACAAATTCTGAAGCTGACGTTTTACTTGCTTACGAGATGAACGGAGAGGTAGGAAATTTTAATGCATTGTTGCTTGCGTTGTTGCGGATCGGGGGCTACTTATTTAAGTTATTTATGCTTCTTCTCCCCTCTTCTTCTCCCTTCCTCTCCCCTCCCCTCCCCTCCCCTCCCCTCCCCTCTGTTATCAAAGCTCCCTCTCCCTCCCCTCTGTTATCAAAGCTTTCAATTGCTGCCTCCCCTCCCCTCCCCTGTATATATATGCGGAAAGCTGAGATGGAAATAAAACTCATAAAATAAAAAAAATTCAGTTAGTTCAAAATTCCCTCCATATGGCTCAACTATGAGAAAAGTTAAGGATCATGAAAATTTTTTCATGAAAATGATCATGAAAGATTTATGATCCTTGGATTACCTTGATTAGTGTGTGGTGTTTTATTCTAAGTGTAATCTAAAGGTCACAAAGCTTTCATGATTATTTTCATGAAAGATTTTTCATGATACCTAGCATTGCTGCTTAACTATACCAGACGGCGGGAAGTTGAGATGGAAGGAAGACTCATACGTCGCGGACTTGATCGTGATTGGCGGCAGCAACGTCGCGGACTTGATCCCCTCCCCTCCCCTACATTATTTTTTTATTATTATGCTTTTCCTTTTTTATTCATTCTTTTCCTTTTAACATTATTTTTTTTTCCTTAGTCATTTTTTTTTATTCTTTTCCTTTTAAAAATTATTGTTTTTATTCATTCTTTTCCTTTTTTGTTTTTATGTAGAATTTTTCTTTTCCTTTTCCTTTTAGATTTGAATCTCATAATGTAAATATTAAATTTGAATCATTCGTCACTTTTTCATAATAATTTTTTTAAATTTCTATCTTAAGCAATGTTACATGTACAAAAAAAAAAATATTCTACATATATATAAAAATTTTCACATAAAAATGGAACCGTACATGTAAGAAACATCCTCAATTAAAAATTTGTATGAATAGTGTGTACAAATATTTTATTTAAATATATCGATTTCACAAAAATCAATGGTTAGGTTTTTTTTTTTTTTTTTTTGTGGTTAGGTTGTTTACTCTGCGGTGGTTAGGTTGCCAAAGAGGTTGCCATCAACCAGGTGGATGAATTGCTATCACAAGCACCTTAATGGCTGTGGTGACCCACCATAAAAAAAAAAAACCTAGCTTTTCTATTATTGTCACTTTGCTTGTTATACACTCTATACTCTTCTATTGCTTGCAAAACAATACTCTCAAAATATCTTTGACATTACAACCTAGAAATAATACTCCAACCATTGCTTGTGAACTCCAACACTCACTCACTGCTTAAAATAGATCACAGAACATAACAGACAATTCATGCCTTACCAAAAACCATTAAAGAGCCTAATATAATACAATCTCAGTGGAAATACATCTATATATACATTTTGAAAAATCTAGAAATCCCCTAGATGTTGATTTGTGATTATGTATCAATTTTAAGCAGAATATAACAATCCCAATCAAACAATCAAGACAAAGAGACACAACGATTTTACGTGGAAAAAAACCACAATTTGACACCTCCAACTGTGATAAAAAAACCACGAGCAACAGCCACAAAACAATCCACTAAGAAGATTTAAAGGAATTACACAGGTATACTCTCAATTACCTAGCGAATCCACGCCTAATTGAACCAACCTCTATGTGCCTCTTCCAACCCGTCTTCACCTCGGAATTGTCTTTACGATGAGCCACCCCGGAATCCACCAAAGCTTCAGGCTCGAATTCTTCAGAATCCACTGAAGAACAACTCTCTCTTTTGTAGAACAAAACACAACCTTTGGTGTACTCTCTTTAAACCATGAGTTGAATACTCAATAAAATATCAAAGAAAAACTCACAAAATATCCCCAGATATAAACCCTAGAACCCAAAAAGAAGATCTGGAGTAGTAATCCTAAAATCTGACCCAACATGCGAATTTATAGAATCTGTCCCGCGATCTCCGCTCGAGCGCCCTACAGCCCGCTCGAGCGCCCTACAGCCCGCTCGAGCGGCTTCAGCAAAATATGCGCGTGATATAACAGAGGTCCGCTCGAGCGCTAGAGAACCCGCTCGAGCGCAAAATTACACAGCTCAGTACTTAGTACTTTTACAGGCGACCAAAACTGCTAGAACCAGGAATTCTCCGCTCGAGCGTGGGTATGTCCGCTCGAGCGGACAGGCAATTTTGAATGCATTTTTGCATTTTGCTTCAGGGGCGCTTTTGTATTTTGCTTCGGTGGCGCTGCCCCGGACCCGCCAAGGGGTGCTGCCCCCTCGACCCCCGCGAGCTGACCGGGCAGCTCGATCCCCGTCATAATCAACGAAGTGGCAATCCTGAAAGCATTAGCATCACAAACTTCTCTGAAAGGCACAATTCGGGTTGGATTCGCATCTAAACACTCATAGCCTCATTGAAATAAAAAGTGCGAAAATAAATACAACTGAAAGGAGTTTTGTCAAACGGAGTTGCCAAGAATAAAACCTAACACATTTATTGATCAGTCATACATAGATACATTACAAAGAATGAACATATATATATTTTTTATTTTTTTATTTTTTTTTTAAATCTGAAAAATTCCTATCGCCTCTCCCCAGGCAACCCTCTCTTTTTTCTCTTAGGAATCAAAAAATGCAGCTATATCATCAATTGTGGTATTATAACCCTAAAAAAATTTATTCATAGTGTATTTGTACATAAAAAAGTGGAAAAGTATATTGGACATCATCTCCAAAGCTGACCTCTTTGCCACCTCCGGCAATGTTGCACTTCAAGACCATATTCTGACCAATAGACACTTTTAGTTTTCATCACACTCCATCTCGGTGTACTCATTCTGATGATGACTGCAATAAATGGGAAGATTGGAGTTGTCGAATCATGAGGAATGTAAATTTGAATCACTGCACATACATCCAGGGGCAGGATATTTGGTAACATCCCTTTCGGCTTTGCTAATCTTGAAATATGGCTGCCCTAAGGAGTATTGGTTTGTTAGTGGGGTGTGTACAATGATTTTAAGTGAAGGGTGTAATTGTGACTTTAAGTGTGCGGATTTGAAAAATTAATTGATAATTAAATTAATAGGTGTGGATTGAGAAAAAATGTGCCTTAAAGTTAATTAGGTGTGTGGAAATAGAATTTCTCCATTTCATCTCTTACAAAAAAAAAAAAAAAAAAAAAAAGGTCAAAAAATTAAAAAAAGTAAAAAAAATTAACATTTAACCATCTCCTGAAAACATCCCTTGAGTTGAGAATGAGATGCTCCTCCCAAGTCTTTGCCATAAACAAAGTGTCATCATGGTAGACTTGAATTGAAACCAAAGGCACAACAACACCACAAAATGGGTCCACTCAAGTATTTACATGACTTTAAATTCTCTGTATATTGCGGAAAAAAGCACTACTAGATCTGTAATTTATTAATAGATTTGATCCAATAGGCCCTTTGTTCAATCCACTTAACTAAATTAAGTTTTGCAACTACTTCCAAGTCACGTTTCCTCCTCCTCACTGTACTTCCATTACTTTCTCTTTTTCTCTTTTTTCCTTTCTTTTTTATTTTTATTTTTATTTTTTTTGCTTTATATATTTTTGTTCGTCAATGGTCGGTTAAAATCACCGCTGTAGAAAGAGACCTCGAATCTCATTTAGATTAAACCATCTCTCTCTCTTTTTTCTTTTTTTGGGTTGAATTGAAAGGGAAAGCAGATGAAAACCAAGAAGATATTTAACAAAAGTTCTCCTAATGAAGCTTCTGATTAAATATTACGTTCCTTTTAATGAGTGCTTCCTTGCCTCACACACACACATACAGAGAGAGAGAGAGACACACACACACACACACACACAAACACACAATATATTGAGAGAAAGATAGAGGAAAGGGAGAGATGGAGAAGATGAAAAGTTTGAGACATCTGTTTGTGACAGTGTTCCTCTCACACTTTGCAGGAATACTGGTAATGCCGGCCATCACTGATGTCACCATGTCGGCACTTTGCCCCGGTCAAGATGAATGCTCTCTTGCCATTTTCCTCTCAGGTTTCCAACAGGCGGTATGTCGGCACTTTATGATGATCACGTCACATAGTATTACTATTATACTTAATATTTAATCACCGTACTATTCTACATAGTTTAGTTTATAATTTAGTCTAGATTATAATTCTCCCTGAGAAATTAGACATAAATCAAGAACAACATGATCGATCATCAATTCAAGTAATATTAGTTTGAATTTTGTGATTTTAAGAATCATGATTGATACAGCTCATAGGAGTAGGAACACTGGTGATGATGCCACTGATTGGGAATCTGTCGGATATCTATGGAAGGAAAGCTTTGCTCACACTCCCCATGACTCTTTCCATTATTCCACTAGGTAGGTCTTCTCCACCTCCTTATTGGTAATTTATTTAGTAGACATTAATGTAGGTATGATTCAATTATTAGCAAGTGTTTTGTAGTGATATTGGCATACAGAAGGACAACAGACTTCTTCTACGCATACTACGTGTTGAAGACTCTCACTGCTATGGTTTGTGAAGGCAGCATTCAGTGCCTTGCTCTTGCCTTTGTGGTCTAAATATAATTCCTTCATTCATTCATGTCAACTCTCTCTCTCTCTCTCTCTCTCTCTCAATCTCTCCTTTTGTAGTTTCTTGACAGTTAATACCGTTATGACAAGTTTTCTGGCCTAAACTCCTTGAAAAACAACACACAGCTCAAATGGGAATGTCTGAACCCTGAAACTGAACCACACCTCTTGTTGCTTTTTATTATCAGGCAGACAACATTTCTTCTGGGCCGCCTCGGACATCAGCGTTTGGTATTTTATCGGGTGTGGGCTACGTTGCCTTCGTCTGTGGCACCTTAACCTCTCGCTTCCTCTCCACTGATCATACATTTCAGGTTTTTATTTATTTTTATTTTTTTCCGCTCTCCCAATCCCAACATGTCGTGCTCTTCATATCTAAATCTTAATGCACTTTCTTTTTCATTTTTTTTTTTTTTTTGGATTCAGATTGCTGCAGTTGTATCAATGATAGCAGCAGTGTACATGAGAATTTTCCTCCAGGATACACCACGGAACAGTGATGATTTGGAGCAGCCAATCTTGAATACTGAAGAGAACTCTGCTCAAATTGAGGGTGAATCATCTAGTGAGGTGCAGGTCTTCAAGAAGATTCCATCTTTAAAAGATATCATATGCTTGCTTAAGAGTAGGTAAGTAAGACACAATATTGGGTTTAGTTCTCATTTTTTACCTAGACTTTAATTCTTATATACTCAAGAAAATTTTTGGAATTTCAAGCCTCCATTTGTATACAAAAAAGGTTCTTTAAAATTTTCCAAATTGTTCTTTCATTAGATGACAGAGTAGAACACTTTTCATCTGATAATGCGTATATATATAGGAAAATGTTTGGGACCCCCTTTGGAGATGACCCTCACACCCCCAAAGTGATCCTGACTCTCCATGTATGTGTGGGGTCCACATCATGAGTGGCTCAGATTTGTAGATTTGTAGGGGTCTTGTAGGAGTGGGGTCTCAATCATTACTCATATATATAATACATATACTGGCTCACATTTTCAATTTCGCGCCTAACTTTTGGGTGGCTTGATGAGTAAAAAAAAAAATGGTTTAACAATTATTTTCTTACTTTTGAAGATGCATTGACATGGTTTTATCTTCATGCTTCAGTGTGACATTTTCACAAGCAGCATTTGTTGCATTCTTCCATAGTCTTGCTGAGGGTGGACTTCAAGCTTCTGCAATGGTATATCTCAAGTTCAGAGTACAATTCCTTTATCAATGAGATGCTAAAGTACAACTATCTAAAACAAGAAGAAGATGAATAAATCTGCAACAAATCTTTAATTCAGATATTGAAACAGATAACAAAATTAGAGGACACTGAAGAGAGAATATAGTGATTGCTAGAATTGCAAGGAGCAAAAAAGAGCCTCATGTCAAGAAACTACCGGTCTTTTAAGAACCAATGACCGAATTACATAAACCAAACCAAACCAAGCCTTAAGTTCCATCAAATGGGGTCGGTTACATGACTATTTATTCTCCACTCAACTCTATCAAAGGCCATTTGGTTAATTAAATTAAGGAGATTCATATATTTATTTACTACACTAGCCCATGTCAATATAGGTCTGCCCCTTCTCTTAACACTTTCCTCTACTGTCACCATATCGCATCTTTTTACTATTGACTCTGTTGCTCTCTTTTGTATATGATGAAACCATCTTATGTTGAGTTAAAATTACGTAAAACGGGAAAAAACCCAACAGAATTTGTTATTTAAAAAAAGAAGAAGAAAAAGAGCAGTCCTTCATCAAGATCAACATAGAAAAATGATGCTTTATATGACTATATCACTTGTTAGCCAAAATCTGCTGATAAAATCCAGAGTTTTACCCCAATGCAGTATTTCTTCAAGGCTCGGTTTCAATTCAACAAAGACCAGTTTGCGGAACTAATGCTAATTGGTGGCATTGCAGGAACCATATCACAGGTACGTTTTTGATGACTTTGTACTGCTATATTTTGCTTTATTATCTTGCACATAATTTCCACTGTCTGGCAAATCTTTATTCATGAATATTTAAGAACCTTGCAGCTGCTTTTCATGCCTATGCTGTCGCCTTTTCTAGGAGAGGAGAAGTTGCTTTCCATAGGCCTCTTCGTCGGAGCTTTTAGTGTATGTACCTCCTATCACTCCATAACATAATGTTTATGTTAGAAAAACAGTCTTTTATGTGCTACTGTGTTTGTAAAAACAGAAACAGAATTTGATAGAAGCAGCATTGAAACAAAAAACTAGCAACACTATCTGAATATATAAAACCAGAAACAAAAACAATAACATAAACTGCGACAGAAACCAGAAAACACTAAAGCACATGAAGCATTTTTTTTCCAACAGTTTGTGTTGTGCAACTATGATGGTCATTATTGTTTGGTACTGTGCAGATGCTATTGAATAGCATAGCATGGTCAGTTTGGGTAAGCCTTTTCAACTACACTTGAATCCCTTGCAATGCTTTGATTTATTGCAATTCTATTCTTGTTTTGTTGCTTTAAGAAATCAGTTGTTATCGTGGACATTCATTGACCTGCAGGTTCCTTACGTGCTTGGCGTGCTCTCTATTTTTTCTGTATTCACAACCCCTTGTGTGAGTTCTCACTTTCATAATTAAATAATAATCTATAGCCTGCTCAATTTAGGCTGTTTTCCATTATTACTTGACAAATTTCTCACTTCTGCAGTTACGAGGCATTGTATCAAAGCAAGTTGGTCCTAATGAACAGGTAGTTTTTTCTATGAGGGGTTTTGGACTTAAAATTAATGGGTTATTTCCCTTAGCACTTTTGAAGTAGCCAAACATGACTCTGTTGTGCTTTATGCAGACTCTTTAAGAATTTAAAACTAAACCAATTAATCCGATTTCCATCCTAGAAAATCTTGAATCCTTTTTTTTCTTCTTAGTTTTTGGACCATAAAAAAGATGGGTATCACTTTTGTACATTGATTGTTATCTGTTCATCTCCCAAATCTTGTTTTTTTACTTACCATGATAGTCTTTTACGTATCTTTTCCCTGGTTTATTTGACCGATTAAAACTCATCTTAGGGAATGGCTCACGGATGCATTTCAAGCATAAGTTCTTTTGCCAACATAATATCACCCTTAATATTTAGTCCTCTAACAGGTACCTTGAAAATTGATTTATAATGTTCTTTGCTTCATATATAAATAAGAAAAATGTATAATTTACAACATACTAATGTGTCATTTTTCCATCCAGCTTTGTTCCTCTCCAAGGGAGCACCATTTCCTTTCCCTGGTTTCAGTATTATGTGCATTGGACTTGTAATGGTAAGAAACATTTACTTCAGAAACACGTCAATCTACGTGTATCACTGTTGTGTTTAAGTTTTTCTTTGCTCACGGAAAACTATAAACTGTCATCTATTGCTGTGCAGATGATAGCCCTTATTGTGAGTGTAATGATAAAGGCAGTTCCCCCCATTTTAAGTAACAAAATCAGTGACAGTGCCTGCACGGAGGCCCAGTAGCAAGGATAAATGGTCTGTCGAACGGAAGAACATCTCTATAACTTAACCGTTATACTAGTTTCAGAACAATCTAACCCTGAATCACATATTTTGGCATCCCACTCATATACCTACACGAAACCAAAGAACAAGAGTCAAGGACAGTCATTTTGCACGATTGTATATTACACAGTTCCATTCAGGACATCTTACGATTCACTTCTTCTTTCAAGTGAAGCTCGATGACAGTTCAATATTGATAGATTCAATTCAACCTAGCAGTTGAAGGTTCAATCATTAATCCAAGAAAACTAAACATCCATCTGCAACTATAATCATGCAATCGTGTATATGTTATATGAAGCACTACAAATTTAGCATTTTATTATATAAATCTCATTATCATCAGAGTATTTGTATTCTTGTTAAAATCTTGTTAGCTTGGTTTGGTTATTCACTCAATATTGAATTTGTGCATATTACAGATAAGTACTTCAAAACATAGCATGTTTCCAACAGATATAGCATTAGGTGAATCAAACTAAGCCTGTTTGGATTGTTTGATTTGGAATAGTTTGGATCATAAAATGACAAAAAATAGTACAACTCTTTCAAGAAAAACTCCTTGCATATTATGTCAGAAAAAGAACAAATCTAGACTGCAGCCTTCTGATCAAGTGTTTTTACGTGAGTGTCACTATCCCATTCAACCAACTACATACAACATCCTGCGATCTAGAATTATGCTCAAGTGTTTTTACATAGGTGTCACTATCCATTCAACCAACTAACTGCATACAACATCCCACGGTCTAGAATCACAGGACATTTAACTGTGACGCCTTGCCAAATGACAAACAGTTGGGATCTGCATACAGGCCGATAACATCCATGTTTTATTACCTGCTTTCTTGTTAAGTTTCACCTTTGTGTGCATTATAAATAAGCACATGTATACATGAAAGCAATACCAAAACACCCATTTCTACAATCCCTCAAATATGGCTAAAGATGGGAATCAAAGAAACATTGTAATGTTCCCATTCATGGCTCAAGTCCATCTCATCCCTTTCTTGGCACTTGCAAGACAACTCGTGCAAAGGAAGGGTTACACCATCACCATTGTCAATACCCCTTTAAACATCCAAAAACTCAAATCCTTGCTCCCTCCAGAAATGGACATACGCCTTGCTGAAATTTCCTTCTGTGGCACTGACTATGATCATCCACCCGACTCAGAAAACACCGATGCATTGTTATATACTGATCTCATTGGCCTCTTTAAGGCCTCGGAAACTCTTCAATCACCCTTCAAGAGCCTCATCATGGAGATTACAGAACATGATGGTCATGCACCGGTGTGTATCATCTCTGATATGTTCTTGGGATGGACAGTTCAAGTTGCTCGTGACCTTGGAATCTTTCATCATAGCTGGGAATGGTTACAGCATGGGGATTTATTTTTCCATTTCCATGAACCCGTCTCTGTGGCAGACTGATGATGAGGAATTCTCACTGGCTGACTTCCCTGAAGCAGGAAAGATTAAGCAAGCACGAGTCTCTGTTGACCTGAAATTTGTCGATGGTGCTGATATTATCTTTTCACTTTGGTTGCAACAGTTCTCCTTTTGCTTATGCTCTGACGTGATCTTATTGAATACCATGGAGAGGATAGGCCAAAATGGAGTGAAATATTTCAGCAGAAAAATTGGTGGAAAGCCAGTATGGACAACTGGACCATTAATAAATTCCGAGTGCAAACAAAGAGGAACACTGGCTGAGAAAATTGCTTTCAATGGTTTTAGCTACTCTCAATGGCTAGGTCTCCATCCGCCAGCCTCAGTTCTCTACGTTTCGTTTGGATCACAAAACACAATCTCACTTCCACAAATGAACCAACTAGCAATGGGCTTAGAGGCAAGCGGCAAGCCATTCATCTGGGTTGCAAGGCCACCTCTAGAGTTCAGTGTGACAGAAGAGTTTAATGCTGATTGGTTACCAGATGGATTTGAAGAACGAATCAGGGCAGAGAATCAAGGGATGTTGTTACACAAATGGCCTCCACAGCAGGAGATCCTATCTCACAAATCCACAGGAGCTTTCCTCAGTCACTGTGGTTGGAACTCCATAATTGAGAGCTTGAGCCAGGGTGTTCCAATTATTGGGTGGCCACTGGCCGGAGAGCAGCTGTTCCCAAATGTTGGAAGAGGAAGTAGGTGTGTGTATTGAGGTAGTAAATGGAAGCAGGCCTTATGTTGTAAAACATGAGCATACTACACAGGTGATCAACACTGTGATGGACGAAACTGAAAAGGGCGAGGAGATGAGAAGAAAAGCCAGTGAAATTAGAAAGAAGATGAAAGATGCGATTACAGATGGAGGCGAAGGGTTTAAGGGATCATCTATCAAGGCCTTGGATGAGTTTGTCAGCATGGTGATCTCCACAACCAAAATCTCTGTTCCCTCCATGGAAGTCGATAGCATAGTCCACCCACTCAATGATTGAAGGAAAAACTACAGAATAACAATATCATATCTATATCTATATTATATAAAGTACACAGTTTTTTTGTAGCTATGTCACGGTTTTTTTGTATGCAAAAGTTGAGATTATAAATAATTTCTTAAATCCCAAGCCTCAAACTTAAGAAACCGCCCCAACTCACTCATGATCTCAACTGTTTTGCTGTATAATGGAGCTTCCTTAACCTGCACATAAATTCTAGTATATATAATAACCGTTAAGTTTTACCACCTCGGAAAACATGCAGCAAAAGTAAGCTAGATATATTTGTATTTCAGTCCAAAAAATTAAATAAAATAAAATAATTAACACCTCAACCTAGAATTATGAGACATCCCAACAAATGGTTCCAATATGGTCTAACATCTCTTTGGCTATTAAAAATTCAACAGAAACGTCCAACAGCATGAAGCCACAGATAAAACACACACCAAGACAATTGACAAGAGAAAAGCCATGAAAGAACGAAAGATTTAGTAAAAAGCCACTTTTTGCTTTTTAACCTATTTTGAATCACATCACCTCTTTACTTTTTTATATATTTTTTCAAAAAAAAAAATCAAAAAAACCAAAAAGTTAACTTTTAACCAACTTCTCAAAACAACCCTTAATAAATTATAAGCAGGTACCAGAAAACAAAACAAAACAAAAAACTACAAAGAGTTTTTTTTTTTTACTTTTTTGCTATATTATGTACAAGTTACTTAAGCACCTTATAAAACAAGAGGTTAATGCAACATCAATCAATGGAAGCAGTGTCTTTAGCACTGGAGATATCACTGCCATCATCCTAACGTTAAATATCATGAAAAGCTCGAGCAATTCTGGTCCTGGAAAAGAGTTCTCTGTTGTGCTCTGGACTTGTCCTCTGCCTTTGAAGTGAAAACAATTGCAAAATCATTTCCTGAGGTGTGTACATCCATCCAGCCCCTTGAATTAGGTCTCAGCTGGAAACGGAAACTGCAAAATCACAAGTATCATCATTATCATCCATCGTTGAAATCATCACCATCATCATAACCTTCATCATCATTGTTTTCATCATTGGAATCATCACAATTGAGGCCATCAGAAGAATCATTACAACCACCACCATCATCATCATCATCACTAGAATCATCATCACTGGAATCATCATCATCATCATCATTGGAATCATCATCATCATCATCACCACCACCACCACTATCGCCACTAACATCATTATCATCACAATCGTCGTCATCATAGTAATAGCCATCATCATCATCATCGTCATCATCAACATAACCAAATGGAAAGAAAGGCGTCATAACCTTAATCAAAAAGAAACAGCACAGAAAATTAGAACTTCCTCTGCAGCCTAAGTAGCTTGTAGCAAGGATATCATGCTCTATGTATACCCATAAACAAAACTGCAATTCTAGGCAAGATAGCACCCAGGGGAAGGTGGCCAACGTCTACGAACATAAATTCAAAATAAACACTCCAATAACAGGGAGATAATCCTTCTCGCAAAGAACAAATAACGAAAACTGAAATCTTACTTGTGAATTGTGATTGTGTACCATCGACATTATCATGCTTAATAAATAAATAAAACACCCAATTACTACCCATTAATGAATGTTTGGGAGAGGTTAGATTGGATACATACCTAACCTATGGCATAAATGCACGAAGTGGCTGTCCTCAAACTTGAACCCATAACTTCAAAGTTAGTAGGCCAAAATCTTAGTTCTCATAATAAATAATAAGGAAGATGGTTTTTTCAGTCACCTAGATAGTACTTGAGACACACGACCATTTTTATGAGGACTAAGATTTGAGAACAACTCAACATGCAGTACAAGTACCTAAAAATTTATAAAAGGCAAAAACAAACTTCTGACAGAAGATCGTAAATTAGAACATTAAAGCAACCACCACCAAGTTGGTGGCCATGATCAAATTCAAGGGAACCAGGCACAAGACAGACGCTTAGCCCAATACCCCAAAAAGTACAGACCACATTGTAGAGACTCTCAGCACACCTGGACAAGATGGTATACATATACTGTCCTTTCCAACTTCAGATCCCCAATTTCACCCATACACGACCATGACATGATACACATCAACCTCAGGCAAGAAATTGAGACAATACCCAAAATTATTAAAATGTTTCAAATATCTGCTTTAATATAATGAAACATACCTTCACAATGTTAGTAGGCAGAGTAGCTCTATCAGGGGCTTTCGGAGTCCATATTTTTATGTCGTTCTCGATCCCACTGCTAGCAAGAACAGCAGTATGAGGATGAGACTCAACGCAGTTTACAACTTGCTTATCCGCTTCCATAACACGAATAAGCTCCCCACCCTTCTTCTTCCAGATGAAAATCCGGCCACAGTCTGATCCACTCACAACATACTCACATTTGGGCCCAAAGAAGTTGACGCCCTTCACTGTCTTAAGGTTCCTATGGCCCTTGTAGACTTGGGGACCAACTTTAACATCAGCATCCGTATCTGAAGGAGATGCTGCTGACTGATGATCCGGTCGTATTACACCCGTATCACTGCCCATTGGCACTGGAGAGGCTGGAGCTGGATCAGTCCCCAATCCCATATCTCTTGTAAAAAGATAAATATGCTCGTCATTGTAAGAGACAAGAAGCTCACTCTGATCAGAAAATGCCAAGCCCGTGATTCCCACATTCTCATCAGTAATCAAATGTTGAGGGCAAAAGTAGTCTGTAGGCTGACCAAAATCAGATGACCCATTCAGCTCATATTTGCGAATATCATAAAGTCGAGTGTACGCATCAGACCCTGCAACTGCAAACAGATTAGGAGTCCTTGGATCTATTGCAATTGCATTTAGAAATGGCATGTAACTGCGGTCAGGTAGTGACTGGCAAGTAAAAAGTTGTGTAGCAGCTTCAGTTCTCAGATCAAACTGTCAGAATAAACAACAGCATTAAACCGTTTTGAGTATAAAATTTGCACAAGCAGGGAAATCAAAAAATGAAAATTCAATTAAAACAATAGGCATAAAAATGATCCATTTTTTAAGAAATTTCTAAATAGGATACTCATAAAATGAGATCCCACCTACACAGTTCATCTAACTTGTTCTTCTGCAATGAAAATTTGTTAAGTTTGTGCAGAAGTACCTAGATTTTCTAATTGAAACAAAAAAACAAACAAAGACTAGAAAGTAAAATGAAAATTTAGTGAGATGCATCATTGGCTTACCCGCTGAACTAGTCCATCCTCGCCGCAGGTATAAAAAATATGAGGGCTTCCAAGTTCAACAGCTAACTTATGAGCTCGACCATGATGCTTCCCCAGCAATGTAGTCTCCACTTGTCCACGTTGAATCTGAGCATGTCTTACCTATAATCAAGCAATGCATTTTTTAAATAAATGCTTATTATTTCTTTAGTTCACGAAATACAGCCCCTATCATAAATTCTTAAAGCACTATAAATCAAAGTGAAGTTTCCTTGAACAGGAAGGATAATTGAGCCAATACAGTAGTTTTGTGACCAAATATGCATTCATAATGACTATGATCCACTTCAAAACATAACATCTCCAAGTGTATGCTTGTGAGGGTGAAGAACCCCCTCTGCTTTTTTGTCATTTTTAGGATATTTGAACAACCTATGCACTTGGTGATTCACATCACTACATGCTTTTACACCTTGGAAATCTTCCATGTAGATTCTATTACCAGGTAGAAGCCAACTGTGAGTTGTTTTTGGTGCTGTCCAAAAATTAGCAATTTTAGGAAAATGAATTACCTGCCCATCAGCAGCACAGGTAACAAGGCTTTGGCTCTCTGTGTAAGGCATGAACTTTGCTTGGAAAACATTGTCATTATGACCAGAATGAAATGAGAGCTTAACACGCCCAGTTTGCCAATCCCATAATATGACTCTCATGTCATCAGAGCCCGACACAAGAATGTCACCATCTGCACTGAAGCTAACTGTGTTAACACAACCTCTGTGTTTTTCCAGCTTTCTGAAGATATCAAGTCGGAGCACAAGATCCTGTAACAAAATAATAATAATAATAAAGCCTTGTAGAGCATCAAGATCCTTATACTGTTGAAAAAATATATATAATACAAACCCCACTCCCCCCCCCAAAAAAAAAAACGCAGTCCATGTTCACCAATTACTACAAACCAACCAATATTAGACCAAAGAACATTGTCTTTTTTTAAGAGATTTAATTAGGAAAGGACCAAAACATAAAAATCCTTCCAGCTCCCTAAATAGACAATTGAGCAATGATGTCTTCAGGGGTATGATTCGCCTTTGTTTCAACATAAATGTGAATTTAGCGATCCAAGTGATCTAAAATTTTTTTCCTATTCACCACCTTAGGAGGAAAAAAATAAAATTAATGAGCTATAATCTAGGGAAAGCAGAGTTTTGGCAGGAAAAAAAAAATGGTGTCATAACATAAAAATTGCTCTAGAGCGAGTGTTTTGACAACTTGTAGTGACTTTTTGGCAATTTTAACTTATTGACAAATGAGGCCTAAGTGTCTGACTTTCAAACATTGTGAGTAGAGCGGAGGCACATGAGGCCCAGGGGGTTCACGTGCCCCCCCTCAACATTTTTGAGATTATGCTTTTGCCTCTTGCAAAAAAAAATTATTTCAATTTAAACCTTTCAATTAATGTTGGGAAGTTTTTAAATCACTACTTTTTTTACCTTTTTTAAAAACTATATATATATATATGTTTACGTTGTCACTTTAAATGTTTAATTATGTTCAAAATTTCTTATAAATTTTATATTAGAAAAATGTTATATGTCACTAATTTTCTATCACCTCTTATATGAATACTAATAATGTGACAACCCCGACCTCCGGACTATTATATTATATAATTCTAATAAGTTTAATTACATGATTGTGTGCTTAGTTGTGTAATTACATGCTTAATTTTGTATCTATCTGTTGTTACATGAAATACCTGTTCAATTGATAACTTAGAGACAGAAATTGAGAGCCTAGACGGCTTCAGAAATAGAAATTGACTAGCGTAATAGATTAATTAGAATATTTAGAACCTTATGGCAACCTCAATTGAAAATTGATTTGGATCAAAATAATTAAAATAAACTGATTGAATTAGTTAGAATTAAGCCTAGCTAATTAACCTTAATCACACTTGATTAGTCTAAATTAATTATGTCCTATATAAGGCTCTAATTAGGCCTTGAACTCATAGATATACACTCTTGGCTGAGATTTTGAGAGAAGGAAGAAGAGACTCAACATTTTAGAGAGAGAAAAAGGAGATTTGAAGAGGATTGCTAGACCAACACTTGAATTCACACATAGGAATGAGATTCATCCTAAATTCATGAACTCGAGTCATGTAGAAACTAAGAGCAAGGACTTATAGGACCATTTGCTTGAATTTGAGTAGGTTGAGCATGAATTACCATGAATATGATGAAATTGAGTTGAATTATGCACATCTATGCTTAATCCTTCATTTTTGAGTTAAGATTTCTTGAAATTCATACGTGCATGAAGCTTAGGAGGCATGAGCTTGAAGATCATCCATAGATTCATGCATTTCATATCACTTAGTGATGTTTTAACATGAAGAAGGCTCAATTCATTACATGCATGGTTTTAACTTGCTTGTATAAGCTCAAATTTGGACAATTGGAGCATGATTTTGAATAAATGGTTTCAAATTGGAAGCATTTTCATGTTATATAACGATTTTCCAAGTTTTTGTACCAAAAATACAAGTTTTGAGGCTTTGAATATCAACCTTGAAGCTCAAACACAGTTTCGAAAATTTCATAATTCGGGTTGTCTGCTCGAGCGAGGAACGAGCATGACAATCGAGCTCTCAAAAGTTTTATAAAATTTTGCAGATCGCTCGAGCGACCAAAGTAGCGCTCGAGCGAGGACCCTTTTTACTCAGTCTTCCGCTCGAGCGACCGTCGAGTGAGAATTTCATACAACCAGTACTTTTGCCAAGTTTGCAGACCGCTCGAGCGACAGAAGTTACGCTTGAGTGACCACCTTTATTTTTGAACCCCCACTCGAGCGAAGGAAGTTACGCGCGAGCAGAGACCCTGTTTTCAGCAAATTTTGACTAACTCTTTTAAGTGCATATTTGCATCTTCATGCCACTCCTAGTGTTCTTAGGCACCATTTGGACTCATATAATCATAGAATGAGTTAGAAATACATAAAGAGAATTGAATTAAAATGAAATGAAGTTTCAATTGTGCTTTGTTATGTGTTTTGTTAGGCGGACATTCGAGGCTTAGTGACAACACAAACCACTGTGAGTAATAACTTTATAAAGATAAGTCCAGATTATCTTTACTTTAGAAAATGTTATTGCTATCGAAATGGATATGTGATTGATTGAATGAAATATTGAAATGATTTGATAATTGATAGCATATCCTATTGAAAATGTTGTTTTCTTATAATGAATGAAGTTCTATTTTGAAATGGTTTTGTAGCATCCACTGAATGTAGGCCCTTGCCTGGGGTAACAATACTATGGCTAGGCCCTTGCCTTGGGGTAACAATACTATGGCTAGGCCCTTACCTGGAGGTAACAATATCACGGCTAGGCCCTTGCCTAAGGGTAACAATACCATGGCTTTTGGATTGATTGACATATGGTCCGTTATCACTAGTATGTTGTCATATAATGGATGTACCACATAAATCGATATTGAAAGATTTTGATGATGAAATGAAATTTGGTTTGACAATATTATTGAGCTTCATTCATATAACATCTTTATTCTGTTATTACTCATTGGGCTCTAGCTCACTATTTATTTATATATATGTGGGTGGGCAAGCTGAACATTAGAGTTAGGAAAGCCTCGAGTCTACTCATAGGTCAACCTTTTGAGGAGCTTCCAAGTGAAGTAACCAAGCTCGAGTGGAGCCATGCTAGTCGAACCCCTTTTTGTGTGTTTAAGTGATTTTTATATTTGTATATATAGTTAAGGTTGTATTTTTGTAAGACATGAATTTTGTACGATTGCGATGGATGCACTTTTGGAACAAAACTTTGCTTATTATATTAGTTCCCTACATACACGCACAGCCCAATGTATAGTTTCTATGTCATTTTAACTTCCGCTAAGCCCCGTACTTTATATTAAGAGATTCATTTGTATGGAGGCTGTAGGTGATCTATGATTGATGGCCGGTCATGACGCTAAACCTATAGGGGCGGGTTTGGGTCCTGACAGAGTAGTATCAGAGCACGAGTTATATCACACTCACTTGTCCATTGAGCTATAGAGAGTCTAGAAGAGACTTCAGGATTGCATTCATATGTATTTAAATACTAGAGTGGGACAAATTGTATAATCACATGTTTTGAATTTGTATATGTAGATATACTTTATTTGTTGTGTTTGTCGTAAAACAAGTTTTATATAGAAAATGGTGACGACAAGGGGTGATGAACTAGAGGAGGCAACCTCCTCAAGAATGGACAGAATGGAACGAATGATGCAAGATATGGCTGAAGCCATAAGGCAACAAAAGCAGTGGCAACAAACAACAACAACAACCATCACCCCCACCTCCAATACCTGTGCCACCCCCAGCTCTAGGGTGTCAGCTGAATACTTGTACTATTGCTTTGACAAGAGAATTTAAAAAGATGAAGCCACCAATGTTTCATGGCAAAATTGAACCATTGAAGGCCGAGGCTTGGGTTTTAGAGATTAAGAAATTGTTTGAAGTGTTCCCATGTACCGAAGCTTAGAAGGTATAACTAGCTGCATTCACATTGGAAGATGATGCAAGGCGTTGGTGGATGTTTATTCAAAATGATAATAAGGATGTTACCTGGGCTCGTTTTCTGGAAATTTATTACGAGAAATACTTTCCACAATGTGTGCGGAACAGAAAAGTATCTGAGTTTATGGAACTCCAGCAAGGAAACAAATCAGTTGCTGAGTATGAAGCTTAATTTACAGAGTTAGCTCGCTTCGCACCCCACATGGTAGATACGGACTATAAGAAAGCTAGACAGTTTGGGGGAGGTTTGCGTGACCCAATTTTGGATAAAATCAATGTGCTTAAATTGCCGACGTACGTGGATGTACTTGATAGGGCGCTGATAGCGGAGAGAAATGTGGCCAACCGTAAACAGAACTTCGAATAGAAGGGCAGAAAACAAAATTTTAATAAAAGGACTACGTCAACAAATAAGAAGTTCAAATCTAGGAGTTCTAGCAATACTGGTTCAAGCCAAGGTGGTGATTCAACGCCAACTTGTACCACATGTGGAAGGAAACATTGGGGTGTTTGCTACCGTGCAACAGGGGCTTGTTATCACTGTGGAAAGTTTGGGCACATCGCCAAGGATTGTACACAATCACGTCAGGGTGGCAACCGAGGTGCCACAAGCTCGATTGGGTCAGTTCTCACAACAAAACCAGCTGCAACACCATCTATCACAAGGAATGAACAAAGGCAAGAAAGAGTTTTTGCATTGATTCCGGGGGATACTCAAAATACTGAGGTCGCAGTGTCAGGTACAATCTCTATTTGTGGTAAACCTGCTTACACTTTAATTGATTCAGGGTCTATACATTCGTTTGTTTCTATAGTTTTCGCTGAAACTTTGAATAGACCTATGGAAACATTGAACTATATATTATGTGTTGCATCACCTACGGGGGGATCCATACTATGTTCAACTGTATTTGTTGCATGTGAATTATTTCTTGGGAATGCTGTTTTGTATGCTGACTTAATACCTTTAGACATGAGACATTTCGATGTTGTTTTGGATATGGATTGGCTAGCTAAATACTATGCAACTATTGATTGTGCTTTGAAACGAGTAATATTCCGACCTCCCAGACAAGGTGAATTTTATTTTGAGGGAAAAGGGGTAGTTTCTCCACCATACCTCATATCTGCCATAAAAACCCGAAAACTAATAAATAAGGGTTGTCAAGGGTATTTGTTTAGTGCGATAACTGAACCAACTATAGGCATTACTCTAGAAAATATACCA